CAGATATAATACACACCTGATGATATTGCATATAACTGTGAATATTTATACAAATATTTTCATGGCAACTGTTTTGATGAGCTTCTTTTTGTAGTGCCTCAAGTGCATGAATTTAAGCATGCTACTAGATTGGCAAGTAGGTCTCACCTTTTTATTGTTGAACTAGCTAAATGCAAGTGTATGTTCTATTCTAATAGTTTTTTTTTTTTTTACTTTTGGAACTCTCTTTGGATTTCTTGCTTCCCTGCCATTTACAATCTTCAAAAATTTAAATGCAACATCAATCGCCATCTTCTGTCTTCCTGAGCCCTGTTTCTTTATTGTCTACTCCTCACTAAAGTTATTTTTTTTTTCATCCTCTGTAACTTCATGCATCCTAGTAGTATTATCACATTGCTTGGGGATAAAATGATTTAAAAAAAACATGGCCAAAATGACCCAAAAAATTCTGGTTGAGAATTTTCACAAATGTGCCACCTGCCAACATATGGCATCATATCTCTCCTGATTTGAATTCCTTAGACTATTATGTTTAGGAATGTTATCAACAGGGAGATCAGCCAGCATCACCACAATTGCAAAAACTCATTGAAGGCTGCCATCAAAGACACAATGGCCAATATGAATGAGAACCACCTAATCCAAGAATGGGGAGTCCTTAAGGGTGATTGCAACAAGTATACCCTTAAAGCAAAGTGTGTTTTTATTAAATAACCTTTTATTTTCCAAAATTATGAACTTATTTATACATCCTCATAAAAACATAAAAGTGGATCAATAAGTCTGTAGCCCTGCACACAATTATTAACTGAATTTCAATCTGAAATTTTCATTGTATAATGTTTGATCTATCTTTTTTACTTCTTCCTCTACCTCTCTTAGTTGACCTCTTCTCCAGCCACATTCTTTTTTTCTTTCGCATTTGCCTTCTTTCTTCTCTTTCTTCACCTCCTTCTGCTCTCTCCCTCTGTCTTTTCTAGGCTCCTCTTCTCTGTTTTTCCCATTATCCTCTTTCCTCTCCTCTCATTTCCTTGAAAAATTGTTTTAAAAATAAGATTTTATGAATTTCAACTAAAAGTCACACTTGCTACATGACCAATGAATGCTGAATGTTTCCTTATAAGGAAACAGTTAATATTACCATCACTATTACCATTATTCCTTCTCTCTCTTCTCTTTCTCTTTTCTAGCTTACTTCCTCTCTATATCTTCATTTTCTCTCTCTTTTCTAGTCTCTTCTTTCTTGTTTTTTTACATCTTCCTCTTTCCTCTCTCTTTTCATTTCTTCCTTTCCCCTTATAGCTTTCTTTATTCATCTCCTTCTCGTCTCTCACTCTTTCCTAGCAGCCACCTCCTCTATTTCACTCTCTCTCTTTCTTTACCTTCTTCCTCTATATCTTCATTTGTCCTCTATCTTTCTTAAACTTCTTCCTCTCTTTTTCCTAAGCTCTTCCCCATCCTGGGTATGGTGATAAATTACATCAGCATCCCAGGTAAGATGATAAACTATGTCTAACAGCATGGCCTCTGATCAGGAGGTTTTGAGGAGCAAGGAGCCACCTCTTAATTGCTGGTGTTCCCAGGTCCACCCTGACCCAGCGTGGTAGCACCTGTTAGGGTCCCAGCTATGGACAAATAGTTAAACTCCAAACTGGGGTCAAAACACTATGAAAGTGTAAAAATAGGTTTTAATACCAGAAATACTTTGTAAAAAAAGTTATTACCAGCAATACATTTTTGAAAAAATTACAAGCAATATATTTTTGAAGAAAAAATATTACTAGTAATAGATTTTTGAAAGAAAAAATTTTTACCAGCAATACATTTGAAAAAAACATATTACCCACAATAAAAATCTTGTCGGTATTAAATAACCCATTGCGGTTGATATGCCGTAAAACAAACCAAACCAAACAAACCTAGGCTCTTCTTCTCTGCCTTTCCCATCTCCTGTTTTCCTCTATTCCCTCATATTCCCATACCTTCTCCTTTACTTTCTTTTTCTTTCCGCTCTTCAATTCCTTCTCTTCTCTTACTTTCCTAGGCTCATTTATCCTCATTTTCTTACTCTCTCTTTCCTAATATCCTCCTCTTTGTTTTTTTCCAATCTTCCCCTTTCTTCTTCTCTTTCATTTCCCTTTATTCCCTCTTCTCTCACTGTTAGTATACACTTTCTCTCTCTTTTCTAACGTCCTCCCCATCTTTATCTCTATTCGTCTTCTCTCTCTCTCTTTCTTTCCTAGACTCTTCTTCCTCATCTCCTGTCTTCCTATACTCCCTCATTTCCTACTTTTCCCACTCCCTATCTTTCTTTTTCCTTTATTTATCTCTCTCTCTCTCTCCTTAATCTTTAATCACTCTACCATAGACTAGGCTCCATCTTCTTTGAGTTCTAATTTTGCTGGATGAATAGAAAGATTTGAATCAATATTCATGCCATATTGAGTGAAAGTGCCATATTTTTCTTCAACATTACAGTGGCCAGCAACATCCATGGCCACTGCTATTTTGATGATTCTTCCCCTACCAATTCTTTCCAAGACATTTCTTTTATGTTCATTGCCATCTGCAAACACATCACATGGCAAAATATGAATGATATTTTTGTATCTTTTATTTCATCAAAAGATGGATTGATAGAGAAAACCATGAACTGGAGACATTCAAGTATTCAGGGTCAAATACATTATTGTGACTAAGTGAAACATAATCATTTCTCACTTCTGAAAACAGACACACACATATATTTAGAAGGAATCACTAGTTTTATATATTTTTAAAATAGCAGTGACTTTACAGCTATTCCATTCTTGACCATAGGGGCATTGTATCCTTGGTGACTGTAGCTGGTGAATATATTGTAGGTATACACCAGCAGGAATAAAAAGACAGATAAATGAATGTCCAATGGCAACCAGCTGAAGAATGCGTGCAAAGCTCACAGGAAACTGGCAATCATAGTCAATCAGACTCACACAAGAAGATTATGAGATATATATATATATATATATATATATATATATATATATATATATATATATATAGTCATTCTCCTAGGTTGAGAACCATATATATATATATATATATATATACACACACACACATATATATATATGGTTCTGAAAAGCTTATCAGAACCAGTTAAAGTAAAAAAGTTTAAAAAAAGGAAAAAAACAAATTATTTTTCTAAGAAAAAAAACACTGAAAAAATTTTAATTCTTCTCTGTAAAATTTCATATATTATAAATAAATAACACTATATTAAATATTAGGTGCTTTTTTCCAATCCTCATTTTAGTCTATACAATAAGTTTTTGTACAGAATCTTTCTAACAATTTTTTACCTATATATATATATATATATATATATATATATATAATATTAGTGGTAAATATACACATACATATGCAAAATATATAAATATATATGCATACACATACATATATATTTTGTATAAAAAAAAAATTCCAAGAGGATAGAATCCAGGTAGAACTCAATGTCCAGGATAGAGTAAGGATATAATATATATATATATATATATATATATATATATATATATATATATATATATATATAATACCAAATCTGTAGGTGGTAGAGATTATTACAATTAGATCTTTTTAATATGATGAATATTTAAGTTTTTCCTAAAATAAAATAATAATTGTGCATCTGGCCACCCATCCACCTCTTATGCAAGTTTCATTAAAAATGACTGACAAGGTACTGCAAGTTTTTTATTTAATTTTTCATGTGCACTTGTAATTTTTTTCTAGTCTGGATGTAAATTATATAGAAATTGTCTAAATGTTTTGTATGTCCAAGTGCTTTCAGCTATACTTTTAGCCATTATCAAGGATGAATTTCATTTTTACTTTTAACTGAATGTATGGATTGTTTTATGTAAGTATCTAGTGTTAGAATTTTATTTTCCAAATGAATCCCAAAAATTAAATAAAAACCTTAACTGCAGTACCTTGTTAGTCATTTTTAATGAAACATGCATATATATATATATATATATATATATATATATAGAGAGAGAGAGAGAGAGAGACACACACACACTATTAAACATTAGGTTACCTGTACCTCCATATTTATTAATATGCAATAAGAACCATTAAAAAATTTATTGTTCAGACTGGAGCTAATTTGTTACATTTTTATGCTTTGATTTGATTTGTTAGTTTAATGGTATATCAACTCCTTATAAGTCATTTAATAGCAAAATTTAATTTTCTTAGGAGCTTTGAAGTAATAAAAATATATATAAAGATATGTTATTCTACTTTCACAACTGTATACATGGTAGTTGATATTCATCTTTTGTGTATATAAATGTTTGTGTGCGGACATGATTACTAAAGATGGTGATATATGTTTTATGATGTAGTTTTGTTTTGGAATACAGTTTGATTTCTTAAGAAATTGTGGGATATTATATGGATTAATGTCATGAAAGAGTTCTTTAATGTTTGTTAGTTGTTTGTTTAGTGGCATATCAACCTCTATGCATTATTTAATGCCAAAATCTAAATATTTTGAATGCAGTTGTACGCCTTCATCTACAAATAAAATGTATTTCTGGTCATTTTTTTTATATAAAAATGTATTGCTGATATTTTTACTATAAAAATATATTTTTATACTTTCATAATGTTTTGTTTTATTTGGTGGTTCACTATTTGCTTATAACTGGGACCCTAACAGGTGCTACTACCTCAGGTCAAAGTGGACCTGGGAGCAACTCCTCAAAACCTCCAATCTTTGGATTGGATTCCTTGTTGCCAGATGTAATTTATCATTATACCCAGGACTATTTTTATGCTTTGGGGACTTCCATAAATTAAACTGATTTCACTGCATCCCAATGCTGTTGTTAACCTTTAAAATTCATAGATAGAAGCATAACATTGACATGATCTCATAAAGCAATTTACTAATATTTTCTCTCTTTTTTGTTGTCTTCTTCAGGCCTCAGGAAGTGTTCCATTGGATGTTGCAGGTTGATGAGCATCTTTCTGGCTTTGAGGTTGGTCGCATCATCTGGAGCATTGAGTATGAGGTGGACGGAAAAGCCCAAGAACATTATTTCAATCCTGACCCCAGATTTGTCAGCAAGATCAATATTCAACCCTTGGAAGAGAAGAAACTCATTCCAGTGTTGAAGGTAGGTAAACTTTTGGTAATCTACATACACATCTCTTTATGTAGAGGCTCTGAGCATCACTCACAAAACAAATCCCCACAAAATATACAATTTAAACGTCAGATCCAGTCATGAACATTGCCACTGAAGCAAAAGCATGACAAAAAATGCTGAGTCATGTATCCACCCTGATGGCTTAAAAGAACCCATTCACAATACTGGGCTTAACCACTGGGCTAGAGCCCACTGACCTGACTCAAGCTACAATTCCAGGCCCTACCAACTCCTCCATCCTTCAGGTCACTTTCCATGAATACAAAGAGACATTTTGCCCTGATAATTTATACTGGCAATACATGGAACTTAATTTTAACATATCTTGTCTCTATTTACATTGTTCGGACTGTTATCCTCATCTTTATTACCATATTCATGATGTTTCAGCCATTGTACACTCTGGCCTTCTTCAGGTGACATTAGTTTCAACTAATATCACTTGAAGAAAGCTGAAACATACAATGGCTGAAATGTGAATATGACAATAAAGATGAAGACAACAGTTTAAACAATGTAAATAGTATAATTAGTTACAATACTTCATCTCAGAAATATAGACAAATATCTTGTTTACTCTTATTTCTGCCTCACAGGCAGTACTTTTTTTTTTTGTTTGTTCTTTTGCAGCCATATGTGGTATATAAGAAGTGGTATATTGTATCTGATGAATTATCAGATGTGGTGGGCTGACTTAATGACAATAATAACAAAGTTGACTGACTCAGTATTACCATCCTTAAAGTTATATCAGTAATAAAGCTGACAATTGTCTGCAGTACACAGCCACTAGTGGAACATGAATAGTGCACAACCTCGGTTGCATATTGCAACACAATTACGCTATGAGTATGAGCTTCTGACCCTCTTCGTTGACCCTAGATATGGTCTTGACCCTCACCTCTCATAACTTCACAGTGAGACTAACCCAGTAATAGGGGATACCCAACATCCTACTTTTTACCTCTGAAAGCAAAGAAAACTGTAGAGAACTATAATAATATAATCATTTCAACATCATAGGCAGAGCACACAGATATTACTCTCTAATCTTAGGTAGAAGTACTGAACCATGTGTAAAAATTTCCCAAATTTTTTATGGGTACTATGCTAGTTGTAATCTTTTGGAAGTTATAGTTGTTATTTTTATTTGTATGTCATCATGAGACCAACTCAGTTGAACTCCCTCAACAACTGTATTTATGTCATTCCTTTGATTTCATTGTTGACATCAATGGCAGATCAACATCTGTGCATGTCTATCAACAAGTCTGTCATGCAGTTTGGCAAACAAGACTGATACCTGTTATTCTGTTTACAGACAGAAAAAATCAACAATAAAAGCTTTAATTGCTCTAGAGCCATGATTGCCCATGTCATTAAGGGACATGTGTATAAAATAAGAAGACTTACTATGTAAGGAGGGTTAACTGGGTACAAATTTCAACCAGAGACTGCAAGATTCACAATTTAAGCTGTATGAAGAATCATTGGTATTTTTCTTAACTTTTGGATAAAATAATGTACCCTTCTTCCCTACAGCCAGTTTTATGATTTAAAATTTAGGAAATTTGTAAAGAAAGCAAAATATAGTATTATCCTGTTTTACAACAACATGGTATATGGGAAGCAATCTAGAAGATTTGGGATTTTGTGGCAGAATGCAAAAGAAGTTGTATCTACATAATTGCTTCTCTTAAATTTCTTCTTTTCAGTATGGAAAAATTTAAAGCAAGTCTATACATTTTCAATTGATTTTGATAGTTAATGATTTTTTCTGTTTTTAAGGTGAAAGGTTGTTAGTTGATAAAAAATGGATTGTTCACTTATCCTATAGTTTCATTTTGCTATACATATAGCAAAGTTGGACTTTGATGACAAGCAGCTAGGTGAATCTTTTAGACTGCACTGTCAGTCTAAAGAACTAAATTAGGAATGACAATAATAAAGTGATACTGTATAAATGTTGGTGTAAAAAAACTAATAAAGATACAATACAAGAATTTAGTATAAAAAGTGAGATCTTCGTTTGGTGTTCTATAAGAAAGAAGTCAACTAGTAAAATATCTATTCCAATGAACAGCTGTATTCACAACCTTATTACTATCATGTTGTGACATGATCTCTTAAATACTTATGGATCATGGCAACTCAATGCAAGATAAAGAACTTTGTAATATTTTATGTTTGTTTGGGCTGTGCTTGTATCTTAAAATCAAGATATTAGAGTAAATTAGTTACTATATACATATATCCTTAGCTGAAATCTGGTACAAATCCACAGTTGTGCAACACTCAATGAATCAAGCTCATTTCCTACAATAAAATGTTCATCCATAAACAATCCAGCAATTTAACTATATCAGCCCTTAAGACATTTCAATTGTTAAATTCTTGGAATGCTGACTAAATTGATGAAAATTCTGAATATATAATATTGGTAATGATAATGGTATTATTAACCATTACATTATAAGGAAACATTTAATGTCATTGACGGAGCAGCCAGTGCTGCCATAAGTTTAGATTCATCAAATCTTTCTTTTAAAACATTTTTTCTGGAAAATAGATTTCTCAAGCTGTTATCACTCTTTCTAGTATTAATGGGTGTTTCCTTCCAGACCTTTTGTTTGAAATAGTATGGAATATCAACACCTTCATTAGTCATTATTTTCTCATTGAATTACATGTGCTAGCCATTTTAGTTGTTGTTGTCTTCAGGTTATGTGGTTTCTGTTATTTTGTACAGTTCTTTGTGATTTTGTAGCACCAGTCCATGAGGTTCAAACAAGAGTGGTATTCACAAAGATCTACAGATTTCATTCGCTCAAAGCCACTTTTAATCATTGATTTTAAAAAGCAGTTGCATATAACAGTTTAGATATTTTCTGAACAGGTTTGGCACAATGCATGATATCGATATGAAAGTTTTCATTTGATGAGGCTATTTAAGAACATGACTCAAGTTTTTATGTTAATGTTTTGGTTTCATAGTTATTTGTGGTGTTGGATGAAACTATCCTTAGTGCATGGAATTAAATTGATATATCACAAAAACTGTTGAAAACGAAGTCATACAAGTCAATATTAAATGAAAGTAAATTTGTTTCTATCTCAAATGATATAAAATTTAACCTCTTCTTTGTATTACTGGTTATGTTATAATTTTGGAAATCTATAACTTTTTAAAAGTTATAGATGTCTGGCATCTCTAGTTGATCATATGATGGGTATTAATTTTATGTATTGAAATACAATGCTACCCAATTGCAGCTGTATTCAGACACTCCTGGACTGTAAGCATGTGAAACTTGTGGGTGCATTTAGGCACTTCCAACCTTAAAAGGTTAAGACCACAGCTATTTATACCAGTGTCCATTCCACTTTTTTAAACAATTTACAATGTCCTCTTTCAGCTCCCTTGTCACGTTCGCCTTAATCTTCTCTCTACCCTTTCAATGGCAATAGCCCCGTGGGAGGGGGTGGGGCAAAATCAGGACTGTAGGGAGGCTGACAGCCTTTTTTTTTTTTTTAGGCAATGTTTTGTCAAAATCTCTGCATATGATTTTGCTGATCTACTTAGTTAATTTTAATGGTACAGTACTCAATCTTGCTATAGCACCCTAATATGGACTGAGTAACCCTGTAGGAGAATGTCTGTTCATGCATATGTCATAATGTCTTCTTTGGCTATATGAATCTGCAGATAGTGTAATTGTTAGCAAATTGGTAAGAGATATTGGCAAGGAGAGTTTGATACCTGGCTGAGTTTACTTTTGCACAAATACCAGTAAGAAAAGTATGAATCCACCTTTTTTCTCTCCCTGCATCCAGCTATGGGTTAAATAACAGCACTGACTAGGGTCTCTTGCCTTGAGGTGGCAGCCAGTCAAGGAGAAGCAAAGTTCTGAATTGAAAACCAACCTGAAGAGGGATGGACTCCATAGGTTATCTTGCCTTAGATACGCCACTACAGTACATGTGGTACCTCTAGAACCCTGGTAGATTGCAGGACTCATGATGTGACAAGACTTTTTTGCTTGGTTGCCAATTCTTATTAAAGTCATTTGAATTGTTCTGTAGATATTCAAAATAGCTGGATACTTTTCTATGTATGCATGCAGGTACTTATGGTAAGAAAACACTCCATTCGCTGAAGAACATGCTTTAAAAACAAGTGGTTATTGCATGTCTCTATATAAGTAGGATATTTGTGAAATATTTACTTGCAAAGTGTTTCTAGAGGAAATTGCTCCTTGTTAATAGTTTTCTTATCTTTTAATAAAATGCAAACTTGTAAAAAGAAAATTGATTAACATTTCCCCTGCTGTGGACATGCTTAAATTTCTTTACAGAATTTATACTGTCTGCTATTGGCATATATATGTACACACGCACATATATATATGTGTGTGTGTGTGTTTTCAAGAGATACATTATGCATCATTACGACACATTTTCAAGATATATGTCTTTACAAAACTTAGATTGCCTGCTCTCAATGTATATATAGATTTTCAGGACACCATGAAATGTCAGTCAATTGTGTTTAAGTAATAAACTAGAGTGGTGGAAGAAAACAAGAAGAAAAGGACTAAACATCAACTGCAAGAAAACAAAGTATGGTCATAATGTCTTCTTTGGCTATATGAATCTGCAGATAGTGTAATTGTTAGCAAAGTAGGAGAAAAAACCCAAAATGTGAGTTACGAAATGGAGATATAAACATCAAGCAGGTGCAGAAGTTCAAATATCTGGGAAGTGTTTTACTGAAATATTGAAAATGTGACACTAGGATCTGAACACATATTGGACTTATGAAAGAAGCATTCCAAAAGCTAAGCAAGGTGCTGAGAAATAGAAAAATATTGTTAGAAACAAAGAAAAGAGTGCTGGGTTGCTATGTGGTATCTATCTTCTTATATGGCAGTGAATGTTGGACAATTTTCCCATGGAAGAGGGAAAAAAACTAGAGGCAGCAGAAATGTAGTTCTACAGAAGGATACTAAAAATCCCAGGGATGGAAAAAGTAATTAGGAAGTCTTAAAGAAAATGGCAACAGAAAGAACACTTATACACAGAAAAAGACAGCTTAAATTTCTTGGACATATAATGAGGAAGGAGGTCTTGGAAAACTTAACCCTCACAGGACATAGCGAACCACTTACCTGACAGGCTTGTGTTAATGGATGCAATTGGGAGCAAGGACCTTAGCAAAGGTAAAAAAAACTGAGAGCCACACAAGAAAGTTGTGGAGAGTCATTATCTCCTGAAGAAGAAGCAGTTACCACTATTTCCAAACCAGTGTTGTCATATAATAACATACAATACAACTTTTTTTTTGTGATGTATTTTTATTATATTGTGTGTTAAGGGCTGTTGTTTCACTCAATTTGTACTTCACAGTATCTGATTGAAACCAAAATGGTAGTAGCCATGATAAATTGCCATCAGCTTCTTTTCATAGCCATTTACAGAAGTAGAAGTTTATCTCTTATTTCCTGTTTAGGATTGGGTTTACAGTTCCTTCTAAGGTCTTCTTATTCTCTTTCACCCCCAGTAGCCCCTTGCTGTTTAGTGGCATTATTATCTTGCTTGTAGTGAATGATTAGAAAAAAAACAAAAAAATTATTTCCAGTCTATAGCAATTTCCTATTTTTCCCAACAATCAGGCAATAGTGAAAGTGTTAATTTAATATTTTTTTATTGTCTGTTGTGCACATTTCAAGTGTCTATAAAACATTCTCACATGGTTTTCTTAAAAATATATCCACAAAAATTGTCAGTTTCTGAAAAACATTTTGCTTTTAGAAAATATTCGTTTTAACAGTTGTCTTTCGGTGAAACATTTTGTCAAGATGTCTGACAGTGAGTTGTAATTGCTGCATTCATTTTTTTCTCAAGGGCATTTGCACTAAGTGGATGCAAGCAGTTTCATCTGCAATTGAAACTGACTATTTTGTTTTTTATTTTGATACATCATTCTTCAGCTCCAAATATATTGCATTAGTTTCAGAAGGCATCGGGCTACCATACAGTTGTGCATTTGGTTGATGGTAGAAAATGGACCACACTTGAGTGACGATGAGGTTGGAAATATTTCCAAGCTCAAAATTCAGTTGTCAAGTTTCCAATATTCAAGTTGGGATCTTCCTGCTTTCTGCACCATTTAAGTAATTTTTGCTGCCCACACTGTTTAATCTTCATCCATTTCTTAATCTGCAGGCTTCATAGCTCACTGAAACAGATTTAAGGATTAATTCTGCTTATATAATCATCAGTTAGCCCAACAAACAACCTCCCCCTCCTCACAAAAAATTAGAAATTGAAGGAAAAGAAAGCTCATTGATTTGTCTAATTCAAAAATGTCCATGTGTCAATATCAATTAGACAGTCGATCCTGAATTAAATCCCATTACGTTAGCTTTGCTACAATTTTGGTTTGTTGATAATAGTATTACAAACTTGAAACTATTGTTGTTAAAAAGAAAAATGTATGTTTAGTCATTTTGTAGGTGTAAAATCTAAAATAACAAACATTTGTCCTATATGAAAAACAATGGTTAGATCATTCTTAAAATTCAATAATAACTATGGAAGATGGATTAAACAAATTAGCCAATAGTATTCCCAATTTATGTCCTCATCTTTATCTAAAATTATCTAGTTTTTTTCCCTAATTACTTGCTTCCATCTTTGTCATCTTTCCTTTTCTTTCTATATTTCCTACCATCCTTCTTCTTCTCCTCTCTCTTGTCTTCCTCCTCCTCATTTTCTCTCTCTTTCTTGCCCTCCTTCCTATCCTTCTCTCTCTCTTGTCCCCCTTCTTCTGCTTCTCTCTATCTGTTGTTATCCTTCTTTTCTCTTGTCATCTTTCTTTTCCTTTCTCTATCATCTTTCAACCTTCTTCTTCTCTCTATCTCCTGTCATACTTCTCTCTATCTTTTGTCATCCTTCTTCTCCTATCTCTTGTCTGCCTTCTCTTGCTCCCTTTCCTTTGTTCTTTTCTCTCTCTCTCTCTTGTCATCTTTCCTTTCTGTATTATCTTTCATCCTTCCTTTCATTCTCTATTTTTCATTTCCTTTGTCTCCCTTCCTCGCTTTCTCTCTATTTCCTGTCATCCTTCTCTCTCTTCTCTTTTCTCTTGTCCACCTTCTTTTCCTTCTCTCTATCTCTTGTCCCCTGCTTCTTCTCTCACTCCTGTCATCCTTCTCTTTTTTATCTTTTGTCATCCTTCTTTTCCTTTTTCTTTCTCTTTCCATCCCCCATTCCTTTTTTCTATCTTCATCTTCTGTTAACCTTTCCCCTCCCTCTATCCACTCTCATCTTTTCCTTTCTCTCCCTCTCTTTACCTATTATCTTTTCTTTCTCTCTCTATTTATCTTCAGCTATTCTTTCCTCCCTCATTCTCTTTATCTTTCTGTCTCTCTCTCTTTATCTCTCGCATTGTTTTTTCCTCTATCTTTATTTCCTCCCACTATTCCCCTTACTTTTCCCATCTTTGTGAAGCAGGGTACAAAGATGATTTATGGATTCAACTTCATTTTGCTTTTATTCCAGTTCTTGTTTTACTCCAACCAGTTCCTTCTCACCAGAGATTTTGTTCACATTATCAGAAAAAGAATTGTTCACCTTCCTAAAATATGGTATTACAACAGCAGCAAAATCATGAACAATCAAAATGTTCACCAAATCTCCTTCAAAATCTCGATAAAACTTTCTTTGTTGTCTTTTTTATTTATAATTTGGAGATAACCCACTAAAAATGACAATATATCCAGTATTTTATTGATTTTTTAATGATTTTTGTTATTATAAACCAATATGCAATGAGTCCATTGCTATCACTCTTTTGGGTACTGATGGGAGTTTCCTTCCTGTCTTTTTGTTTAAGGTAGTATGGAAAGTCAACTAAGAGAGAGAAAAAGAGGTGAGATGGCTATGAGAAAGGTGAAGAAATAAAAGGAGGTTAATTATAATTCAAGATGGCATGATTCACACATCCAAATACTTAAAGTGTTTTCTTAAACTTAATCTGGCACATGTCTAATATTTAAGAGTAATCAATATGGATCAAACTTACTAATGATTCAATGGTCTGCAAAACAACCTTATTGCTTATTGCTTTACAACTAGAATACTTAGATATTTGCTATGTATAATAAACATAATAATGATAATAAATAGTATTAACAACATTTACTGGCCTGAATGTCCAAGAAATTTCATAGAAAATATGTGTCCTCCAACAGAAATCGAACCTGCATCCTACACGGAACCGTCATATAGCCTGAGGTGCTATACCAGTTTACAAAGGAAGTATCTGGTTAGCATTATGGTTATTATAAACAGAGCATTTACTTAAATATTTGTGTCTATATAAATAATATATACCAATAAAATATATTAAAATAATTGTCGGACTTAGTCCATTTCATAATATATGACATCATTTGTTTACATTAAGATACATTTTGAGCAGATATGAACATTTGAGGGAAATCATGGAAAATTTGTAGTTTAAAAGCAGCAAATCAACCTTGCTAACCAGACACTTCCTTTGTAGCTAAACTGGTATAGCACATAAGGCTATATTACAGTTCTGTGTAGGATACAGGTTTGATTCCTGTTGAAGGACACATCCATTTCATTATATATATATATATAAATATACACACACACACACACACACACACACACACACACACATATATATATATATATATATATATAGAGAGAGAGAGAGAGAGAGGACTTTCCTGTAAATTTTGATATATGAGGACCAAACAGTTCATTTTAGAACTGAACTGGTAGACTACTCACACAGATGATGTGAATCTAGTGAAGAATCAGCCACAGAACTGATAACAGAGAAATGGTGTACCATGTACCACAAACACTACATTTTTTTTACTAGTATAAACCAGACATAGGCCTACCTTTTCAACTCTAGTGTACACTGGGCATATGCCTACTTCTTTGACTGTAGTATAAACTGGGTGTATGCCTACCTTTTTGACTATAGGACAATTAGGATTTATACCTACCTTTTTGACTATAGTGTAAACCAGATCTATGTTTTTGACTTTAATGTAAATTGGATATGTGTATACCTTTTTGAGTTTACTGTAAACTAGACCTATATTCATCTATCTATTAATTCATTGTGATTATTATCATATAAAACTTATATAAATATCCCAGCAATGGTTGATATGTCACTAAATTAACCAATTTAACCTAACCATGAACCTGTTCCAAAGCTTCTATTGAATTATTTGTGTTGTTTTTAAACACATTTCATCAATATATTTTGTGGCTTTTTGTAATTCTTATTTTTTTGAATTAAAATCATCCTATAATCTATAAAAGTGGCTTAGTCCATTTTCTTATTCTTTGATGTTTGAAACATTTTGAATAAGAGAGATGAAAAAATGCATGGAATAATGAAAATACTCTTCTAAGAGATTAAAAGAAAATAGGCTAGATTGATTTTTTTTTTCTAAAAGAATTTTAGCAACTTTTTAATTCCAGACGCATGTCATTCATTGTTTTCTTTTCAATATCGTGCCAACATCAGCATGTCAAGTGCTTAGAAATTTAGTTGTTTCAATCCTTCTTGCTGATAACTGACAACATTAATGATTCAAGTGACGACTTCTATATCTTTATATTTTTTACATTTAGTTTGTATGAATTATAAGAATATCTAACTTTTACACAGTTGTTAATTTTCAGTCTGTCTTTGTTGGCAGATCTGAGAGGAATTAGATTGAAATGCAGCAGAATTGTTAGTTGAAATAGACACTGCTGAAAAAAACTGTAGCAGACTGGCAAGCATAGCATGTGGATTATTGTACAATATCAGTTTGGGCAGAGAGTGCAAGAAATGATATTGATCTGCAGCCTTGGTAGATGCAATATTATTTTGGGTTGGAGGTACAAGGAAATATATTGTTTTGTGATCTCCTTACTTAGAATGTCATTTTGGGCTGGAGGTACAAGGAAATATATTGTTTTGTGGCCTTCTTACTTGCAATGTCATTTTGGGCTGGAGTTGCAAGGAAATGTATTGTTTTGTGGCCTTCAGACCTGCAATGTCATTTTGGGCTGGAGTTGCAAGGAAATGTATTGTTTTGTGGCCTTCTTACTTGCAATGTCATTTTGGGCTTGGGGTCTTCTTATTTGCAATATTATTTTGGGTTGGAGGTACAAGGAAATATATTGTTTTGTGATCTCCTTACTTAGAATGTCATTTGGGGCTGGAGGTACAAAGAAATATATTGTCTTGTGCCTTTCATGTTTGCAATGTCATTTTGGGCTGGAGTTGCAAGGAAATATATTGTTTTGTGGCCTTCTTACTTGCAATGTCATTTTGGGCTGGAGTTGCAAGGAAATGTATTGTTTTGTGGCCTTCAGACCTGCAATGTCATTTTGGGCTGGAGGTACAAGGAAATATATTGTCTTGTGCCTTTCATGTTTGCAATGTCATTTTGGGCTGGAGGTACAAGGAAACATATTGTGTTGTGGCCTTCTTACTTGCAATGTCATTTTGGGCTGGAGTTGCAAGGAAATATATTGTTTTGTGGCCTTCTTACTTGCAATGTCATTTTTGGGCTTGGGGTCTTCTTATTTGCAATATTATTTTGGGTTGGAGGTACAAGGAAATATATTGTTTTGTGATCTCCTTACTTAGAATGTCATTTGGGGCTGGAGGTACAAAGAAATATATTGTCTTGTGCCTTTCATGTTTTGCAATGTCATTTTTGGGCTGGAGTTGCAAGGAAATATATTGTTTTGTGGCCTTCTTACTTGCAATGTCATTTTTGGGCTGGAGTTGCAAGGAAATGTATTGTTTTGTGGCCTTCAGACCTGCAATGTCATTTTGGGCTGGAGTTGCAAGGAAATATATTGTTTTGTGGCCTTCTTACTTGCAATGTCATTTTGGGCTTGGGGGTCTTCTTTATTTGCAATATTATTTTGGGTTGGAGGTACAAGGAAATATATTGTTTTGTGGTCTCCTTACTGAGAATGACATTTGGGGCTGGAGGTACAAAGAAATATATTGTCTTGTGCCTTTCATGTTTGCAATGTCATTTTGGGCTGGAGGTACAAGGAAATATATTGTCTTGTGCCTTTCATGTTTGCAATGTCATTTTGGGCTGGAGGTACAAGGAAACATATTGTGTTGTGGCCTTCTTACTTGCAATGTCATTTTGGGCTGGAGTTGCAAGGAAATATATTGTTTTGTGGCCTTCTTACTTGCAATGTCATTTTGGGCTTGGGGTCTTCTTATTTGCAATATTATTTTGGGTTGGAGGTACAAGGAAATATATTGTTTTGTGATCTCCTTACTTAGAATGTCATTTGGGGCTGGAGGTACAAAGAAATATATTGTCTTGTGCCTTTCATGTTTGCAATGTCATTTTGGGCTGGAGTTGCAAGGAAATATATTGTTTTGTGGCCTTCTTACTTGCAATGTCATTTTGGGCTGGAGTTGCAAGGAAATGTATTGTTTTGTGGCCTTCAGACCTGCAATGTCATTTTGGGCTGAAGTCGCAAGGAAATATATTGTTTTGTGGCCTTCTTACTTGCAATGTCATTTTGGGCTTGGGGTCTTCTTATTTGCAATATTATTTTGGGTTGGAGGTACAAGGAAATATATTGTTTTGTGGTCTCCTTACTTAGAATGTCATTTGGGGCTGGAGGTACAAAGAAATATATTGTCTTGTGGCCTTCTTACATGCTATGTCATTTTAGGCAGGAGGTACAAGGAAATATATTGTTTTGTGGTTTGCTAATTTTCAATGGACAAAAATAAATGTTTGGCCTAATGTGCTTGTCATCTTCTTTTTATATTTCTGAACTTCATTTTTGGAAAATCAGATCCACATTTTCTTTCCTTATCATTTTATCCTTCTTTCTTTCATAGATTTATTTATACTTCCTTTCTGCAAATGTAGAGGAAAATGGAAACAGCAGCAATCATTCATCACTTAGAACTGCATGAAGCCCATGAATACTGTTTTCAAATACATATATTTGAAAGCCCAATGCTACTAAATGTTTTAATTGACATTAGTACTTCAAATTAGGTCTGCTTATTTTAAAAAGTAACCCCCCAAATCACAAATAGTGAAATTCAAAATTTCATACCACTGGGCTTTCAAAAGTCACCCAATTCAGCCAACCTATTTTAGCCATTGAAACTATTGCATTAAAATAAGTCTTTAATATATTATCATTCATATTTCTGTTAAAAATAAATAAAATACCCACAACATATTTTATTTATTCAAGTAGTATTTGTAGTCTGACATAAATCTCAGATTTTGACATCCTTATCAATATTCAACAATTTTGTGCTGCCAATTCAGAGTCGAATTAAATTCTGATGCAGCAGACATTTTTTTAATGCAGCAGACATTGCTGAAATAGAAATGAATTGATGCATTCTGTTGATAAAAATCAAGTCTAAACAGTTATTGAGAATTCTTGAAGAATTTGTTGAAAAGGATTTAAATCTATCAATGAGATTTGATGAAATACTAATTATTTTTATTGCTAACTGGAATGAATGAATCCTGGGATATTAAGAAAGAAAAAAAAAAGCCACAACATATAATTTCTCTTTAGATTAAAAAAAAAATGTTTTTTTTATGAAGTGAGAAGGTGCTGAAAAGTTCTCAGCCTGTCCAAGAAAAAAGAAATCTGATGCTTGGTCATTTGTGCAGAATTTGTGAAATGGGTCAGGCTGAAAATTTTACAGCACCCCCTTTTGGGTAATGAACACATGATAGTAATGAGCATATTCTCTCAAATTTAAGTGTTTTATTTTTCTTTTATTGATTGGTAGCAGGATGTTTATTTTGGGGGTTTGAGGTTCTGTTGGGGTGATTTTATTGAAGGTGTTAGCCTTTATTACTCAAGATGAACTGTAAACTCTGAAAAAATCATTGAGATTAAATCAATATTTCAGGACTGATCAAGATTATAATATTCACATATGGGAAACACATTGTCGCTCTCTCTCTCTCTCTCTATATATATATATATATATATATATATATATATATATTAAATAAGGAACAAGTACAAAAATCTTTATAAATTTTCAAAGATTTTTCAACTTATTTACTCATTCTGTCAGATTTAATCCATATTTTCAAGTCTAATGGTATTACGATGGTACGGCAGCTCAGAAAACTCACTCTAATCATTCTAATAAGAAAAGAACTCCAAAATTTATTGGTGAAGGCCTCAGACTTAATATGGAGGCCTACATCAAGTGCCTTGAGGAAGTAGTGCTACCCTGGGTCAAGAGGGTGACTGCTGGCAACAGGACTCTACACCATGCCACACATGCAGAAGAAACCAGTCATGGCTGTCAGGCAATTTCTGCAACCACATCACCCCTTACATCTGGCCATTTAACTCCCCAGTCTAGACTGCAACCCCCTTGATTATTATGTTTGGGGTGCAGTTGAGTGAGAGATCAACAAAACTCCTTGTAATACCAAAGATGAACTGAAGGCAAGGATTATGGCAGCATTCACCAACTTAAACAAGGAGACCATGCAGAAGAGTTGCAGAAGATTCGGAAGTCATCTGGAGGCCATGGTTGAAGTTAATGGCAATTTTATTGAATAAATTTACTCTTTAGTATTTCAAGATATTTTTGTGTGATTTTGTTAAATATATCTACTAAAATGAGATGTCAATGTTATTTTCACTTTTGCATAATTTAGATGACAATTTATCCATCGCACCCTGCATATATTTTCAGTCTATATGTTATTTTTATAGATACAATTTATTTAAGTAAATGCTCTGCTTTTAATTAAACAATATTAAGTACATTTACCTGCTTGAATGTTTGAGAAATTTCATAGAAAATATACGTTCTCTGACAAGAATCCAACCTGTATCCCTATATGGAAACCGTCATTTGACCTGGTGTGCAGTACCATTCAGCTACAATGAGGCATCTGGTTAGCAAAGTCCAAATTACTGTTTATAAACACACAATCTACGACAATTTTTCTTGATTGATCATATCTGCTCACAAAATGTATCTTAATGTAAACAATGACAACATATAATGAAATGGATTAAGTCCAACAAATATTTAATATATTTTCTGTTTATACATTATTTTTATAGATACAATTTATTTAAGTAAATGTTCTGTTTTAATTAAACAGTATTAATTACATTTACTGGCCTGAATGTTCAAGAAATTTAATAGAAAATATACCTTGTCCGACAGGAATTGAACCTGTATTCCTGTTGAAGATCATGGCAGACCCAAAATGGGTTGGTCAGCATTAATGGGTTAAGTTCTTAACAACTTCAGAGTCTGTCTATACTTCTGAGATGAGGTATTATGTACTTTATTTACATTATTCGGACTATTGTTCTCATCTTTGTCACCATATTTATCACAACGTTTCGGCCGTTGTACGCTCCGACCTTCTTCAGGTGGTTGGAATTTCGAACTGAACCCTTTATTTCACTCACTGGGGTAGACTGTTCTAGTTTCACGTGCCTCAAGGACACATGGCACAGTGGATAAAGGCGTTGGTTAGATCCAGTGACAGGACCCAAAGAGTGTAAGTTCAATACCCGGTTAAGGCAGTGGAGATATGGGATTAAAAAATAATCAATGTTTTATTTTTAAATCTCTAAAATCCTGGTTTAACCAGTCTAGAAGAAATATTAATCTGAATCCAAAACTTTTGAGAAACCAATTGCTCCATTGTCTTTTCCTAAGAAGTCATGTCAATTCTCAGATAATAAAGAAAATCAATCTGTAAAGAATCACGATTGCCTTTGTTCTGAAATGACATGGCATTTAAAAAAAAAGAAATGATATTAAGGAACTTCATCTATTCAGTCAAGAGACTACATTTGTTGAAATTGTAACCCTTAGTCTTGTCTGAAGGAATTCCAACTGCTGATAGTTCTGGCACTTAAATATTTCACAATTTTTATTTTGATCACATGAAACAGTATTGTCCTTTTTTTTAATCTGGATGTAGTATCAAAGATGTGATTACTTCTACTTTGAGCAGAACTGGATGAGCCATTAAGCTAAATAAGGAAATGCTTTTTTTGTGATATCATGATAACCTTAAATCTTTGGTTGGAATTTTTATCACTGTCATCATTCTCTTTGTTTCATTTGACATTGTTAAAAATGAACATTTCTCTTCCTCTCTCTTATAATTCATCCCTTCCTTCCTTTCTCCCTCCTCTTTTCTCTTTTAATGAACTAAACAGAATTCTCCTTTTCATTCATCCTTTGCCCAGTTTCTCATTTCTTCTACACTTTCTCTTCATCATTCTTTTTTTCTTCTTTTCTCTCTTGACTTCCTTTCTATCATTCTCTCTTTGCCTAATTGCACTTCTTTTGAAAGTTATATATCATATTATGGGATGTGGTGTAATGGATAATGGCTCAGAATGAGAAATCGGTGAGCCAAGTTCAAATTATAGTCAGGTTCATTGCATTCATTTACGTGCAAGTACCCTTGGTAAAAGTAGAAACCGATTTCTTCTCCACCCAGCTATGGGTTGAATATCAGGATAGACTGGATCTTAAAGCCTTGCAACTAGTCTACTACAGAAAAAATGGCAACCTACTGCAGGAAAATCTTCTGCCTAATCAGTCATGAATCAAAAGAGACATGATCACCCAAGCATGTATTATGTATGGCACTTAGTTGATTATATTCAGCAGAATTCTTTGCATAAAAATTCTACTTCCTTATTTATGTCCACTGAACCATTGTCCTAAATGAGTTTTATTTTTGAACATATGCCATCCTGACCTATTCTTTTCTTTTTTTTTCCCCCGCTTTTTTACAGAAGTATTATCTTTTTCTATTTTTTAGGTTACAGAAATAATGAATGTGGCTGCTCTCACTGGTCAAATCCAGACTTACCCTCTACAGATATTTGTAGTAAATGATGAAGGCAATATTCATGACGTCACTTGGCTTACTTCTTGTCATTCCAGCAATGACAATGTTCTAAAGGTAAACTGAAACTTTCATAACACAACATTCTCTTTCTTGTAAATTTCTAAACTTTCTTGACTAAATACTGCCTACTTGGATGACATGTTAAAGACTAAAAAAGAAAAATGTTTTTGCATTGTTTTACAAACAAATATTATTAAAATTAAATTTACAATTTTCCTATTTCAATTTTATGGTGAATCATAATTATTAAGTTAATAACTGAATAAGCTCTTTGTGAGCTTCATAGAAATTCCCCTTTTTTTATTGTCAAATATTTGAGCTTAGCACCTTTGCATTAACAATCATAAGTATGAATGCAGATTGTTATTTAAAGAATAGAGTGCAAATTGCAAATTAAAAGATTTAAAATTTTAAAAAAGGCTTTCCATTTCAATGAAGCAGACATTAGACACAGGAGAGTTATCCTCTCTCTCTCTCTCTCTTTCTTTCTTTCTTATTATTATGTATGTTTTCTTTTCCTCACTAAAACCAAACAGTGCCTCTGATATATCTTTTTCTTCCATCCTCCCTTGCAATCAAAATGGAAAGGTCCATTATTTATCCGAGGCAACGACGTGCATGACACATGTGCTAACTAACAAAGAAACAAGCAGAATAATAATATGACTCTTTTGATTTCAGTCTCTGATCCCTGTCGAATGTGGATATCCACCCATTATCATATCTTTGTTTATTTAACCTCTTCTTACGATCACATCAAAATGTTATTTTCTCAAGTTGGAAGATGTTATGTAAAAATATTTCCTGAAATTTACTTATTCAGTTCATTTCTCTCTCAATAATTCTCAATAGATAAATGGTAATTTCTGTCTGTGTGTCTGAAAGCCCTCTAACTCAGGCCACACTTGCTCTACATAGATATATTATACCTTTTTGGAATCAGGATGATTGAAAATCAGCCTGTCATCTGGTGCTTGAACATCCAGCATTGGAATTTGTGTCCAGATGAGGAGGGAACAGTTAAAAATTCAAATTTTAAAATAAATGAAAAAATTAGTGATTTTAAGTTTCTAATTTATGTTGAAAATAAAGTAACACAACTTTGTGTATTTAAAAAAAAAATTGTTTTAAATTCAGTCTTAAATATCCCCAAAACATTGTGAATTGAGGAAATCAGTTTTATTTCTTCAAAATTTCAAGGAATCAAAGTTAAAATGAGAGGTTTTGTGATGCGAAATTTTAAAGTTCTGCAGAGTTTGTGATTTGAAGAACTGAACTTGGTTGAAGTTTCACTGAGTTTGTGATCTGAAGACTTCAGTTTTCAGCCTGAATTGGAGTTTTGGACCAAATCAGTCTTTTGTCCACAATTAGATTTATAACCTGAAACAAATGTAAAATTGAGGTTTTGAAGTTTCATGGAGTGAATTGAGGAATTTAAAGTTATTTCTTCAAAATTATCATTGCTCATTATTTACATTATTCAGCCTATTAAGCCTTAACCTTGAGGACACATGACACAGTGGATAAAGGCGTTGGTTAGATCCAGTGACATAACCCAAAGAGTGTGAGTTCAATACCCGGCTAAGGCAGTGGAGAACTATCAGAGGGAAAATTAACAGGAGATAACTGATAACTGACATCCATTAAACATAGCACATGGAACTAGAACAGTCTACCCCAGTGAGTGAAATAAAGGGTTCAGTTCGACATTCCAACCACCTGAAGAAGGCCAGAGCGTACAACCACTGGAACGTTGTGATAAATATGGCAATAAAGATGAGGACAATAGTCCGAATAATGTTACTAATGTACATAATACCTCATCTCAGAAATATAGACAGATATTATCATTGCTGTTTTCTAGTCTGGACGAGAGGTCCCTTTAGTTTTGGGTTGAGGGCTGTTATGCAATACCGATTATCCTATGTGGCAGTAAATGCCAAATTATCTCCTCACAGATGAAGAAGAGACTTGAGGCAACAGAAATCTTTCATGGAGCTAGTCTTTTTTACCTCCCAACTTTATAAATGCCTTCACATACTAAAGTCATAACTAAAACACTGTCACTAGTGCAAAAGGCAATAACCATAGATACAGACAAAATACATGGGAATAATGAAAACTGATGACAGTTAAGATTTTCAATATTGATTGATTTGTTTTCTGCAGCTTATCAACCCTTTGCAGCTTATTTAAAGCCAGAAAATATTTTTAGATTGTGAGCTGAAAGGGGAAAAGAGTTGGATTCATGCCTTTCCCAAGTGTATAAATGAATAAAACAAATTAAATTAGGAATTAGAACTTAATTCTCCGGTTAACAATTCCATGCCATTATCCATTATACTGCCCACACATCCAAACTTACAGCACCTGATATTACTAAGCGATCACCCATCTAGGTACTGACCAGGCTCGATGTTACTTAACTTTGGTAATCATACGGCAACCAGTGTTTCAACATGATATAGCTGTAAGCCCAATTTTCGATGTGCTCATAGTGTAGTGGTTATCAGCATGTAAAGTAGAACTGACATGTCTTGTTCAAATTCCAGCCAAGTTTATCACATTCACTTTCACACAAATGGTGTCGAAAAAAGTATGAATACATCCCGCAAACCACTGTTCTATGAAATAGAATCTCAACATGATGCTTTCCCGATCATGACAATTGTAACTTAAGTCTAAGGTTAATTGTTATCTTCCTCCATATTCACATAAACTGTACCTCTTACTCTGGGATTGCCTAAATGGCAGAATAGAACATTCCCGCTTGCTACATATACCCTCTTTTCTAACCTTTCAGTACCAGAGAGTTTACAATACAGCTTACAATACAGCATTGCACTAATCTGTTTATTCAATAAACCTCTCTGTAAAAAATATCTCTTCTCTCTCTAGCTATGACTGGAATTTCTAGCTTTGTTTTGGCAACTAGTCTAAGAGAAGTTAAATTCTGAATTCAAAATCAGTTAGGGGTAAGGGTTAGTAATGCCACCCCATATAAAAACTTACTTGATATGGAAACCACTGCAGCAACACCTGGTGTGGTGAAGCTGTGGCTCTATACTCTTCAGGAAAGTCTAGTGGCACAAAAAGGAGGAGGATATTTAAGAAGTATACAATTTTTATTCCTTAATTTCTGTAAAATATGCTCTTACAACAGGAAAAGTCTTCATCTCGAGTGTGTTTTTTTTTTTTTTGCTTTTCCCTTTTTCAGGTGTCCAAAAACTGTTCCTTCATTTATGTTGATGGTAAAGAGAAACTTGGTTCACGTAATGTGACAGTTATTGCCAAATCTCGTCAGTTAGTAGCCTTCACCCACGTCACTGTTTGGATGCCTGAGGAGAGGCTCAATGTCCAGCTTTCAGATAACAAACTCAGCCAAATTAAAAGATGGAAAACACCCAAAGATGGAACTGCAATGTAAGTACTATTATTATTCTGTTTTCTAAGGAATTCATTTTATTTATAATCTGACATTATTTCTTATTACTGGGTGATTAGGACCCCTTACTTGGTCAGCAAGGTTACCTGATATCAAGTTAATAAGAATTAACATTATTACATATGTTTGGGTAGACATGTTTTTTTAATAGTGTAAGCAAAATATTAAGAAATGGATGAAACGCGTCACAAATAAACTTACAATTTCATCAATACTGTTCTTGATATATGAAAATATGAGAGGGAGAATGTATCAATGTCTGTAGCCTGATATGTACATATTAGCTGAATTTGTATCTGAAATTTTCCCCACATAAATAGAAAATAAGTATTTGTCAGATAAAATGATTTTTGAGCATTATACTATGGACACATGCACACATGTGTATGGTATATGTACTTATGTATTATTTTGCATATTATCCAGGATATAAATAAAGTATAGTGTTGGGTGCATGGTTGGGTGGGTAGAATGCTTGTTTTCTGACCAAGAGACTTGGATTTCAATCTCACTATGGTCAATTTGTCATGAAGGTGAATTCTTCATGTTATTGACCTAGGGAGGTGATCCCAGTGTAAAGCACCTTTGTAAAGTGTCTGAAAATCATTCCACACGTTTACACATACCCTGTGAGCGAAACTGGGAAGAAGGAACTGTTTGAGAGCTGTTGATAATTGTTCTAGCACAAACTCACAAGTCATCATGACTGAGGGTTTGAGTGTACAGGCCTTGTTCGAACTGTTGATAACAGCAGATGATGATCTCTCTCTCAGAAACTGTAACTAAGACCTGTTTAGTATAATTGCAGTATAAATCACAAGTGTGAAAGCCAAATGTGCCTGTGGCGGCATCTACGACAGACTGATTAGTCACTCTAGTAGATGGGTGTGGTTAGAAATGAGTTACCAACTATTATAAATAAAGTAACTTCCATATGGATGGAAACATTACCAAGGAAAACTTCTTGAACATGTTTGGCCATTACTTTTTTTTTCCTACCACTTTCCAAAAGGAATGATCAATGATCTTTCAGTGAGACATTACTCAAAGGGTTTATAAAATAGAAAATTACGAAATCAATAGCTGGGTGATTAGGACCCCTTATTTGGTCAGCAAGGTTACCTGATATCAAGTTATGGTAGAGATATTTTATTTTTGTTTGGAAGCTATATTAAAAATTTGGTTTATGAAAGAAAACCCAAAACACTTTGAGAATTAATGAATTTCATTGACATCTGTTGTTATGCCATTCAAAGATTTCATGAAAGATTGAAAATTTGCACTGACAATGGTGGCTCATTTGTTGAGAAATATTCATTTTACTTATCGCTTGATTTGTTAATAAAAAATCATTCCTTTATATCACATTTTACTTTTATTTTAGGTTTTCAAATGTGGTAGCTATTGTACTTACAATATACATATATTTGTCTCTGAATACTGTATTATGTGTGTGTGTTTATATATTTTTAGACCAACTAAGTCATAAAGGATCTTGTCGATCATGCAAAGCCAAATAGTACCTTATAAGTGCAAATCCTTCCCAGATTCTCAAAAGTTCATATCTGCTCAGTTTCATATTTGAACATAAACAAAGCAATTTCTAAAGAAGTAATAGATATTTATTCATTAATCTGACAGATTTTATCACTTTAAACATTATTTTTTAGTGGTTACTCGCATCTGAGTAGACATTTTGTTTATTTACTGAAGAGTATATTTATTTATTTTCATCTCTCAGCTTGAATCTTTGAGAAATCTTATTAAAGAAAAAGATGTGCCCTTTGAACTTTTCTTAAATATTCAGACTGGTAGATGGTATATATATATATATATATATATATATATATATATATGTTGTGTATGATACACCTAATTTACATAAGCGGACTACCGACCATATAAATATGGGTTGGTACCGAAAGACGGGGAAGATAGTAGAGATTAAGAAATTGAATCCAGAGACTCTGCCCGACTGCGATTTAGTCAACCCATTATGCAGGAACAGTCTTCCCAAGAATATACCAAACTAACTGTAAATATTGTGTACCTATTCTTTGTTTCAATACATTTTGTTAACGTACATTTTGTGTTGTATTATTCCATGCTTATTTAAGCTTCAACAATATATATATATATATACACGCATACTACTGATCAAAAGTTTGGCACCACTCTGAATTGTTTCTCTAAGTTCATAAATATTCTTTCTGGCTGCCACATTATTGGACAAAATTTTGTTTTGCAAGAAGGTAATGATCCAAAACACAGCTCAAATACTGTGTACAAATTATCTAAAATCAAAGGAAGATAAGGGAATTTTGTAAATCATGACTTGGCCCCCTCAGTCTCCAGATCTTTCACCAATTGAACTAGTCTGAGACAAAATTGACCGTAAGGCTTGAAGTGAACTACCTAAGAATAAGCAAGAGTTGGTTACACATTTACACACTGCTTGGGAATCACTTCCACTTCAACGTACTCTTTTACAAGTTATGAGAAAGGATGCCAAGAATTTTCTCTGCAGTAATAAATGCTTGTGATGGATTCTTTGATGAAATGAAAATATAAATTTGTTTTAATTGAAATTATAATTATTTTATATTCATTTTGATTTAAATTATTGCAAGCAGAAAAATAAATTTATTTTTTTTAAAGACATGAAACTGTATTCATTTTTTAAGTTTAGAGGAAAAAACCAGTGTGGTTCCAAACTTTTGGTCAGTAGTGTATATGTGTAAAAATTCTCAGAGTGTATTTGTAGAAGAGACAAAATGAATAAAAAGACACAACAGGAAAAACTATACTTAACCGATGTTTTTCAACCACTGAGGGACTTTATCAAGGTAATGTAGGATTTATTATGTTGCATTTGTTTATATACATCCTTGCCTCTGTATATAAACATGTGCAGCATAATAAATCCTACATTACCTTGATAAAGTCCCTCAGAGAACAAAATGTTGGATAAGTATAGTTTTTCCATGTCTCTTTATATATATATATATATAATGCATACAGATGATCCTTAAAAATCTATGCAGTTATAATTTATTTCATGAATATACAAAAATATATTCATCTCTTCAGATCATCTGATTTTAGTGTAGAGTTTTTATTAATACTGTTTTTGCATGGGGGTTTGTTCAAGATCTTATTATTGTGTTTTTTTATTATTATGCGTTCAAGATTATCAGAGCAGCTGTAGCTCAATTTTAGGGTGTTCTTATTGAATATATTACTAAGCTTACTATTGGTGGGGAAGTGTTTATTAATTAGAGCTAAGAATTTCTGTCCTAGTTTAATACTAATCATTAACCTTTTGCATTAGTTTTGTGTGAATAATTCATGTATTTGTAAATTGATTGCACGTTTATTGTAATATATACACATATATATATATACACACACACACACATATATATATATATATATATATATATTCAGCATCTAACAGTGAAATCAATTCTGATATCTATATTTTTCCCTTATTTCAGTCGTCGCAAGAAGCGTGAAAAGAACAACCATCATTCAAACGCGGCAGAAGATCCTCACCGTAGTATGTGCCGACTTCGCTACCAGCAGACAACTGTTGATGTTTATGCTAGCTTTTGCATCCTGGAGAATGGAAAACTGCAGTATTACACAGGCAAGAAAACCTATCTGAGGGTGACAGATTTAGTGAAGGACCGTCTGAGGATGTCTGACCCCAGAATTGCATCTCTCAATGGAAATATCATTGTTGGTCAGGCACCTGGACTTACTGAAATCCAGGTACAGATACCCGCTTCCTTCAAGCTCTATTCTTTACTTTGGCTAATATTTTTCAGCAATTCCCATATCTAACTCTAACCATATCCATTGACCATGATGTGCAAATATGCACACACACAAACTTTGACATATTAATTAATACTGGTAGTATCTCTTCTAGTAGTATGTCATTAATAACTGCACACTGATGTCTTTTTTTTTTCCTAATTCATAACAGCACACAGTTATCAATGATATTTTTTATTTTAATCATTTCACCCCAGGCAAGGCAATAATGCCATTAGGATGCAAGGGGTTACTGGGAGTGAAAGAGAATGAGAGGAGTTTAGTGAGGAGAAAGGACAATAAAAGTACAAGATTCAGGAAGACAGAAGATGGCAATCGACACTGCATTTAAATTTTTGAAAATTGTAGTTATCAGGGAAGCAAGAAATCAGAAGGGAGTTCTGCAGGCAAGAAAAGAAACTATTGCTTATGGTTGCATTCAACAGTAGGATGATGAAACCTAGTTGCCAATCTAGTAGCATACTTAAATTCATGCAGTTGAGGCATCAAGTTCATCAGAACAATTGCCATGAAAATATTCGAAGAAATGATAGAGAGAAACCACATTATGTCAGCAAGAAAGTGACTGAAAGTCAAGTTTCAAACTTGACATTTGTAAATATGAATAAAGTACAGATAACTCTTTAAGAAGTCAGTGATCGATTTGGTATTGTATTTATATTATGAACAGGACTCATCTTAAAAAATCAATATTTTTTTTATTCTGACAAATGAACTGGCTTTAATGTAAGGGAAGCAATTCTTGATAAATAAAAAAAAAATGTGTTCAACAACACCACCGGTGGTGATAGTTTAACCCTATGTTAAAATACAGTGGCATGTTTGAACACTTTTTTTTGTATACTGATGTGCGTGTGCATTTTAGTTATAAGTGTTTTAAGGTTGCATGTGATAAAAGCAAAAAATGTTTTTCCTTAATATTTAGCAAGTGTCAAGTCAAATTTTCATGATTGGTCAAATTACTTTCTGAGTTTCTGGTTTTAGTTGTACTATTTGTGTGAATTACAACCACTTCACTATAATGTAATGGTTGTAATAATTCTGGTAGAAAAATTTGTAAGGATTACTATAACCTTCTTGTTCATATATTTTATTTATACCTAAAAAATATTTCATATTATTTGCTAAAATGCCATTACCCTTAACATACTATAACGGTCAAGACACAATAGTCCTTGAGGAAAAATATTATTTTTTCTTTCTATTCAGAGGATGAAGTAGAGATTTGAAGTTGTGGGATCACACACATCATAGCAACAGAAATAACCTTGTGTTCACAGGAATAAAGACACATGCACATAAATAACACTAAATCATGTTAAATTGTAAATTAAAATCATACAATTTATTTATTTTTGTATACTGATGTGCGTGTGCATTTTAGTTATGTGTTTTAAGGTTTCATGTGATAAAAGGAAAAAGTCACTTTGTATTATGGCAAACAATGTCCCAGAGAGAGGAGTTGGACATCTTGACCTTCCAACAGTCAGTGGCAGAGAGCCTGAAGTCCTTTTTCTGGCAGAAAATATTTCTGTTGAATTCTAGGAGAACATTTTATTTAATTTATATTAAACAACATTTTAATGTTATTTGTTTTATTGTATTTTATTTATGATATTCATTATTGTTACTATCATTTATTTATATTTTTATTTTTTATTAATAATAATAATAATAATAATATCCCTACAAAGTAATAGAAATTTGAGGGAAAATATTTTTTCCCTCGACTCAGAGGATGAAGTAGAGACTTAAAGTAACAGAAATGTGGTTCTACAATAGAATACTGAGATTACTATTGACAAGAATCTAACCAAAGATTTGGTATTTGGTTTGGTTAGATTGGAGACAGAAGGAAGACATAAAAGCAGAAGTCCTTCAGAGTGACAAACCCTTACACCTTTTCTCTTTATCATCACTCTTGACTATGTACTGAGATCTTTCCTCAACAAACATCAACATCTAGGTTTTACTTTATCACCAAAACTGTCCAGTTCAGTATCCTACAAAAAAGTTGACAGATGCAAATCTTTCAAACCACAGTAGAGGTGGTGTTAATGTATGATGCCACTGCCTGGACATTGACTATAACCCTAGGGTCTAAGCTTGATGGAACCTACACTCAGAAACTGAGAGCTATACTTAACATCTCTTGGAGACAACATACAACTAAATCATGGTTTTATGGACCCATCCCTGATATTTCTACATATGCACTTTGCAGGTGAGCAAAACAAGAACTTGTGAGTGATTTATTGCTCTGGACACATAGTCATGGAGCAAGATGGGTTGGTTGCCCAGCAACCACCTACATTGACCAGCTATGTTATGACACAGAATGCTGCCCTAATAACATTCTGATCTTGATGCAGGATCACGATGGTTGGCATGATAAACTCATGAATGTTTGAACTAGCTCAGCTGAATAATTAAATATTGATGGAGCATGTGAGCAAATAGAAAGTTTTATAGAAAAGGGGAAGTAAAAGGAGACTTGTACTTAGAATCAGAAAGAGATAGTTGAAATTACTTAGAGCTACCAAAGATGGGAATTTGTGTAGAGCTATGATCATCTAAAAGAAAAAAAAAATTATTGCAGGTAATATATTAGTTACACTAGACAACCTCCCCTTCACAACAAAAACTATTACAAATTCTGACAGTGAGCACTAGTCAACATACACCCTTTCTACAGTTTGGAATTTGTATAAACTTCCATGTTACTCACATCTTCTGAAATTAAAAATATAAAATGACAACAATTTACCCTGTATGTGTTTATTTATACTCAATCATTGCTGGTATTTTTTTTTTTTTTATTATTACACAAATTTAGATGAAAAGAAAAAGTGATTTTAAGTCTAAACAGTTTCTTTTTCCAGTTCAGTCAATTTTAAAATTTTTTCTACTTCTTTTTTTCCTTCCAGGTGTTGTCCCCAACAGGCCGAGTGATGGCAGCCAAGGAAATCCGTGTTGGTCATGACAAGGTGTCTGTCCAGAGACTTGTGGTGAACATTGTAAGTGGCATCAACCTTGAGGTGAGGGAAGCAGCCCTGAATGACCCCACAACTATTTTGGCACTCCTCCATGTTGAAAACAAACTCAAGGCTAAATTCCAGGTAATTAACTGTATTAAAGCTTGTGTGCTTCAAATGTTTTCAGTTAATTAAACAAAGTGTCTTACCAGGGTTTCTCCAGTGACTAGTTGACAAATTTTAATGTTCATCATGAGTTAAAACATTATCTTCAATGACTTGTTTAACTGGTTATCATGAGATAATATTGGGTTGATATTTTCTTTTTATAATAAATATCACCCAATATAAAGCTTCAGAGCCACTCAAGTTAAAGAGTTACAATCAAAATGGTAATGATGAATGTGAATGTGGCAGGAAGTGGAGATTATGAGGATAGATTACAATTTCCTGTGACTTCAAGAAGTTAAGATTGGACTCTTCAGGGAAGCACCCATGCAGGTGCTAGTTCCACAAAGCTGTCAGACTTGAGCTTCCCTTTTACATTTGGTGAGTCAACTCTGTGGAAGTGGCATGGCATGTCCTAGCAGTACTGGTGGAACTAAAGAATAGAGCTCTTCTGAACATTTAAAACATTCCATCATTTTACAGCTGAATTTGCTAAGATGTAACCGTAAGTTCAATGCTAACAGTTTCTTCTCTTGCTTGTTGAATTCTCTTATTTCCCAGTCAACTTTGATCTTCAAAGTCTTAAATGCAATATCAGTTGTTATCATCTGTCTTCTTAATACCTTTTATTTTATTGTTCTTGCTCCTTAATAATATTTTTCTTTTTTTCATATTCTTTCACTCAGTAACCTGTTGCATCTTAGTGGCTTTATTACCTTGCTTGAGGTCAAATGATTAAAAAGTCATGGAAATAACGATAGGGTAGAGACAGGCTTGCAACGTTGTCTGTGAGGAAAGAGGTTGCTAATTGGAAAATAAGTAATTGATTTAATTGCTTTCTGACAGCAATGCATGCACATCATAAAATCTTATTTGAACAGGCGTCTTAACTTTATGGCTTCCTTGGTGATTAAGAAATTGGTCATTATGCAGCATTTAATTAGTGAAGTTCCTTTGATATTTGTTACAACTGTTTGACTAAAACCATAATCTCAATTATTCTTCATAAAATTGAATTGTGTAGGTTTTTCATTTCATTTTGCCAAAGTTACTTGATATTGCTTATCGTTAAAAAGTATCTCATTGATTCTGAGAGTCTTTTAATCATTTCATGCCTAAAATTAAAAGAATGGATAAAGCAAATCATTTTATCAGTGGCAACAAAAGTAGAAAAAGAATAGTCTGAATTCTATTAAAATGGTTGGAGAATGTACTGGCTTAAACATTGTGTTAGTAATAATAGAGGCAATATGCATTCTACTCAGTGACTGCTAAAGGCTTGATACAATAATTTAGGAACAAGGGCATCTCGGCATGGTGTAATGGTTAGCAAGCTTGTCTTGCTATAACAATTACGACTGAGTAGTGAGTTCGATCTTCACTGGGTGCTCCATACTTCCGGCTTTGTACCACATCTAAGCAGCGCTTAGAAAATCACTATTTTGGGCACCTCGGTGTGGTGTAATGGTTAGCAAGCTTGTCTTGCTAGGTCAGTTACTACTGAAAAGTGAGTTTGATCCTCACTGGATGCCCCATGCTTTCGGCCTTGTGCCACATCTAAGCTTCACTTGGAAAATCTTTACAATAATTTAGGAACAACAAGAGATAATGGGTTCACATTTTTTGTTCTCAAATTGTTTTTTAACTTAGCATTCTCAAGATTTGATAGTCGTGCTTTCTTATTTCTTATCACAAAAAAACATTTGCTTTTTCTTTGTACAATCTTATTTTTTTACATAATCTCCTTTTCTTTTTTTTTAACAGGAAGCAATATTAGACATTGCTCTTGAATTCACAGACAAGACCACAGTTGCTCTGAAAGACATTTCCCCTGTTGATTATAAGCTGGAAGTTGTTTCACTCAACCGCCAAGTGATCAAGGTCCCTCGTCCATTTGGCCTGCCATACCAACCTGCCATTATTGCTACCGGATCTGGAGAGGGTCCACTGCTTAACGTCTCTCTGCGTCTTGTGCATCGCTGCTCTCGTAAGAACATGCATCCCCTTGTGTCAGAACTGACTCAGGTGCATGTCCAGTTCACAAAGAAGCAGACCTACTTGGACAACCTGCAGAGTGATGGCCACTATGACAACAAAGTGAGTGACCGCTGGAATAAGCCTGCACCAAAATCTTCGGAATCAGTTGCCACAATTGATGTCAGTGCTCAGAATAACAACAAAATATACCTGGATAAGGTGAAGGGAGGCGCCAAGCCCATCACGAAGGACAAACGCCCGCAGCAAATTGTCTCCGTCGAAGGCTACATAGATGAAGACACTGCTGCACCACATGCAGGGCCCAAGTCAGAACCCCAGCTACAGCAGGTGGTCAAGGCCCCTCGTCTATCAGTGTTGGAGATCATCATGTATGTTTTGCTGGCTGTCTTCTGCATGGCTATTATTGTATTCACGGTGAACTGTGTTGTGTTCACTGTGCGTTACAGGCGCAAGCAGATGCCGAAAGATACAAGATCTGGCACTGAGCCTGTAACTAGTGCTCGAGACTGGGTTTGGGTTGGACAGGCAACGCTCGAACGTAATGCCATCAACACTCGCTGCTCCCAGACACTGATGCCCGAGGAGGACTTTAACGGAAACCAAATGCGGGCAAGGCTCTACAGTGGCACGGGCAGTACTGGTTCTTCTGCCTCTGCATCTGCCTCATCTGCAGCATCTGGTGGGGCAGGTAGTGGTGGAGGCGGCAATGGGGGAAGTGGAGGAGGAGCTGGCAGCAGCAGCAACCGCAACAGTACCGTGTCGACATATATGGGCTCTGAATGTAGCATTCGTATCACAGCAAACCCTCTACCACCTGAAGCGGCCACAGGCAGTGGTAATAGTAGCACGGACAATGCAACAGCCCCACCTGAATGGGACTATGAGGCAATGGGCCTCACATATGACCAGTTCAAAGACTATCTGGACAATCTCAAAGAATCAACTGCCTAAACTAAGCAGATATAAATAAGGTGAAAAGAGAAGAAAGAATTTTTTTTGAAGAATAAATGGAAAGCTCAGGTGGGCATAGGAACTGACGAAGGACTATAAGAACAAGCAGGTAGATTTGTGACATTGAAAAAAACACACCTGAAGATATAGCACTACGTTATTCTGTTATTTTCATGATAATGATGTGGGTGATAAGCGGATCAGGGGTGGGAGGTTTCCGTATGCCTAAGTGTAGGTGAAATGCGAAGTAGAAAGAAATGGCCAAAGAGGAAGGTATCTCCCTACCCTTCCTCTCTTCTTTCTGCTCTGTAGAAACAACCATTTTTAACATTTCTTTTTGGCTTCTAACCTACTGTCATAAGTTACTTATCTAACCGACCTTACATGCTACAACTGTCACTTTTCTGTTCTCTGCAGTGTTTGCCAAATTTCTGAGGTAGTGTGGTGCAAGACAGCAACAACCACAGTCGTCATGGGTTGAAGACATGGCTGAAGGGAAATAGAAATATATTAATTCCCTTCCCGAGGGGAAGTTTTATCTTTTGATTCTTTTTCTCCTCCTGAGCTTTGATCGATTAACTGATCCACAAAAACACTATGTTCTCTGCCTGCCTATGAAAATGCATCGCTCCATCTGCGCTTATTTTAGCATCGTTCTCAATATATATTCTTTCCTTTAATTTGTTCTCCTCCCAGTTTTTAATTCTGACATCTTTTATTTTTTAAATTCTGTCTACTTTTTTTTATTTATTTTTTCTTTAAAAAACGTTTAACTATGTTCCCGTTTCTTTCATGATAACTGAAAAAACAAAAAAAAAAATTTATTTATCGTTTAAGAATTTTCTTAACTCACATTTCATTATTCTTCTTAATTTTGTCTATTTTTAAAAAAAAAAAAAAGAAAGAAAATTCTTTGTTTCTGTCTTTTAATCTGAAACTTTCTTTTTTTTTTTTAAAAAAAAAAAAAAAAAAAATTCCTCCATTTTTGAGTTGCTTTGTTTTGTTCTCCCTCTTTTCCAGGGGTAGACAAGAAACCTGTTCAAAAATAATAAAACATCCTCAGACTTGCCATCTTGATTTTTAAAAAAAAGATAAAATATAAAACCACATTATCAAGAAAACAAAAAATTCTGAGTAATCAGTAGATTTAGTTCGTAATTAAAATGTATATAGAGTTTCTTGTTGTCCATAAAATTTCAAATAATTTAGAAATGAAGGTTAACCCTAAAAAAACTCTAATCATCAGAATATTGTATTAGAAAATTGAATTATATTTCATACAGTATTTGAGGGTTAATGATTTTTAGAAATGTTAATGTTTCATGTGTATTGGTAGGTTATGTCGTTAGCAAATGTGGGTTTAATGCTTAGTATTTTAAAATATTAGTAAATTTGTTGGGGTTATCCATATTATTAAGTTGGTTTGCTCCCAAGTTAGGGATCAGTAGTTAATAAACAATTATTATGTAGTCTTTTCCTAATTTATTTCTGTATATAAGGTTTCTTTTGATTACTTTTATTTGAGGAAGCAACTTGTGGAATTGCCTTGCCTTGTACGCATTTATCCAAATAAGAGCCACAAAATGTTGGTTTTTAGAAAGTTACCAAAATTATAAGGTCATGACCCTTGGCAAGTTTGCATCTAACTATAAAAATAAAATTTTCATTGAAAATATTTTTTTTTCTATTTCTGCATATATTGCACTTGAAGTCCATTAACAGGCTGAAAAGCAAAAACAACCAAGGAAATTTTTTTTTTTTTTTTTGCAACCCACGTATCCCAGCATCCTCCAATCTTTTCCCCATCCATAAATTGGTCAGATTAATCTGGAAAATAAAAAATAAATTTTAAAAAACTCATGACAGATAAAAAAAAGATTTTTAAATAAAATTCTTTTATGAGAATTTGTAATGAATAAAATAAAAAAAAATTTAATCACTGGGAATCAAAAATGCAAAATAAAATTCCTTAATGAAAATAAAATAATTGACTAAATGATGTCCATATTAATGAGAATGATAATACTGAAAATATCATTGGTGGCCTTTTTTGTTTAGTGACAGGTAACAAGAAAAAAAAAATGCGATACCTGTAAATCTGCTTCTTCTTGTCTCCTTCATAGTTGTCGTCATTGTTGTCATTGTGGCATGTCATTGTATGTTTTGGACTGGGGAAACAAAAGAACAAACTTGACTGAATAGAAAAAAAAAAATGATGGCAAATCACTGCTTTTTCAATTTAGCCAAAAGGAAAATTAGCTGAATAGCATCAAATTTGAACAAGCCCCCACCCTGACCACCAACTGTATTTTTTGTTTTGATTGGCTGTACAATAAAAAAAAAAAAATTTTAAATCAAAGAAAAAATACAACAGCCTACAGAAGTGTGAAAATAATGGTACAGTATTAAAAAGAAAAGAAAAGAATTTGAAAAGAGATAAAAAAAACATCCATTTTGGCATATGTAACTCTGTTGTTGTTAATGTCTTTTTTTTTCACAGACTTGTTAATTTAGTCTGTCAATAAAATAATAATTTACAAAAACAAAAAATTGAACTTTAAAATTTAAGAGTTCTAATTGTAACAAGACGAAGAAAAAAGGCATTTAATTTTTAAGACAAACAAAATTGTGGGTTTGTTTTTCCTTAAAAAAATAATTGGTTATCATAACAAAAATATCCCCTTTGAGATATATATATATATAATGATACCAAGTTTAATCATTATATTTCCAATTCAGTATATTTCAATATATATAAACATATATATATAATATATATTATTTTTTTTTAATGTAATTTTGTTTTTAATATCATTTGAGGTTTTTTCTACTTTTGTCCAAACTTAGTTGTACTATTTTTATGTTATTATAATTTTGGCTTTCAGATGTATTTGAGAAAAAAAAATCTTTTTTTTTTTTTACCCCCTTTGGTGGCTTCTAATTATAGTACATTAATCAGAAAAATAAAGTAAATAAAAATGTATCTTTTTTTCCTTTTTTCCCAATTGTTTATTTTGATTTTACTTATTTTTACCAGAAGCCAATTTGTCTACTGGTGGCTGTAATATGTAATATTTGTTTAGCGATTGTTGATATTGTTTTTACTGCTTCTCATTAAGAAGAGAACATTGGAGACCAAGAAGATTGTGTGTGTGTGTGTGTGTGTGTGTCTGCATTTGTCTATTGTTACATGTTCTAGTGTACTATGACCAAATGTTTAAAAAGAAAAAATTCCTTTTAAATTATATAAATTTATCTTTTGATCTACAACCGTAAAACATAATTATTCTTTTTTTATAGAATGTTTTTAAAACCATAAATTTCTTTAAGTTAAATCTTTACATTTATTGTAAAGTAATCTAATCCTCTTAAATATATTTCTCACTTTGAACATTTTCTATTTTAGTTATCTCCCCTCTATGGTTATCTCCCTTGTTAATCTTTTGCTTCAGTGAATTAGCTCTACGTTTCACTCACTTTCTCTCAGCACCATATATTTTCTTCATTCCTTCTACAACATATTACTATCCGTCTGCTTTCCATACAATCCACTCTAAGTTATTTATGCTTTATTCTTCTCTCTATATATTATATAGTGTTTATTTTTTTAGCTTTGTCTATTAATTCTTTCGCTATTCTCATGTCTATTTTTGTTTACTTCCTCTTCTTTACTTTACCATTTCTACTGTTTTCTTCTTCATAAACATTTATCATCCCTTTCTTTGTATTACTCTTTGCATACATATATATTTCTATCTCAGTCTTTAAATAAACAAAATGAAAAAGTCCAATAGTCTTGATACATGGAGTACAATCGTTGAAAAAATAGTACGCACACTAAGTAATAAAGCAACCTAAAAAAAAGTATTTTAGTTATCTCCCCTTCATGTTTATCTCCCTTGTTAATCTTTATGTAATTCCACTCTGATATCAGGATGTTCTCTGTACTTGTAGCATTAAGATTAAAATTTGAAAACTTTCTTATATATAAATTTTAAATTCAAAATTATACTGGTCATTATCGTGGTTTTAAACTGGGGGAAATAAAATAACAGATTTGAATGAATAAAAAAAAGAGGTTGAGGATGATAAGATTCTTCATCTTGACTGCTATTAACTTTTATTTTTCATTCACTGTACAATAAAAAGGTTTAACTTTAGAAAATAATATGATAGTCTACAGAAATTTAAAATAATGATACAGTATTTAAAAAAAATCATTTTGACATATGTAACTTTGTTATTATTGTTTGTTTTACAAATATATTCATTATTATAACATTCTGGAATCTCAAAGCTATTCTATGCATTCATTTATCATTGCATGAAGTTGATAGAATTGAAAAGTCTGATAAATTAACTGCTGATGATATACTGAGTATTTTTAATGGCGTCCGAGATTAAATTAGATTATAAGGTGGCAGTTTCAATTTAGGAATGAATAGCTGGTCCTCAATTTGCCAGATGAAAGGGTCTGTATTTCTCTTGATGTTATCTATTATTTCTCTCTTTCTGACTTCTCTCTTATAATACATTCTTCCTTTCTCCATGTTTCTGACAACACTCTTCTCTCTGCATCTCTACCTATCTCTCCTTTTATTGTTTCTTATTTCTTTCTTTACTTAATTCCTGCTTAACTTCTTTCTGTATTTTTTAATACACTTTCTGTCTCTTCAGCTGTCTATCTTCACACATGCAAACAAACCAGCAACACAGTGGAGGTGGTGAAAAGTTCTCAGTCGAGTTCACTTTCTAAAATCTGACCAAATAGATATTTTTTTTTTTTTTACATCCCTTCAGCAACCACTTGTGTGTGTGTATATATATATATATATATATATATATATATATATATATATATATATATACATACGTGCGTGTTAATTTGAAATACTGTTTTTGAAGCCAGAATTGCTGGCTTTTTAGTGGTTTGCTGATAAGCAGGCTTTGTGGTAGAGTGATCAATATTGAAGCCAGAGATAGAGCATTAATAGAATTAATATGAAAAAGTTTTTGTTTTTTTTACTTAACTCATGTTTACTTCAGAGTTTTGTTGATATATAGGTATAGCCACTTGTTGGAACAGAGTTAATCTGCTGTAATTTCTTGATTTTTCCTGAAATTACAGCAAAATTAAATGTTCTGATGAGTAGTTATACCTATACAGCCACAAAACTTTGTAGTAAACATGAATTAAGTGAAAAAAAATTCTTCAAATCAATTTTTCTCTCATTTTATTTTATATATATATATATATATATATATATACACACACACACACACACACAGGTAGTAATCTGTTGATATAATCCAGGCGAGTTCTATTAGCACAACATAGAATTTGTTAAAAGAGTGATCAATGTTTATTTTCATTAAACAGAGCAAATTTACTTTACAACTGGAATTAAGATACCTTTTGTGTGTGTGTGTGTATATATATATATATATATATATATATATATATCTGTTTATCTCTCTTTTCTCCTGTTTTGCAAACTTTTTGGTATGATCAAGTTAATCGGATCCTCTTTGTAATGCCAAGCACTGCATTTATAACTACATTGTTTTCAGCTACCATGAAAATTAGCCAATGCCTACAGTGCTATTACAGTGACAAAAGCTTCTAAACTTGAAAGCTTCAAGAAAATTTAAAACTTTCACTTTACTTTCACTTTTTTATTCTAGTGTTTTTGCCTGCTGCAACACATTGTTGTTATTAATAATTAGTAACCTTATAACTTACTATTGAGATATATATTGATTTATGTTTAATTTGATAAGTATAAGTAAAGACAAAAGAACTTACCTTAGCTGACATGTTTTCTGATGAACTTTATCAAGGCAAATATAAGGATTTTATTCTTCATTAAGTATTTATAAACAAAAGTAAAAATGTTGGTAGTCATTCAAAATTTTTAAAGTTAAGAGATGCTCATAAATATTCATCAGGTTAACTGAAGTCTAGGTAAATTATGGAGGATGCTACGTGACATAATTTAATGTCTAATAAACGAAAGTGAGTAAATGATATTATTGAGTTTTTTTATGCAATTATTATTTCAATTATTTTAGTATGTAGTATTTTAGCTGTAATTTCTCACTTCATTTTTCCTTTCTCTCTCACATTGTTTGAGTATTTTATCTTGTGTCTTAACTACTTGTGATTTGCAGTGTGTACGTTTTTATTATCTCCTAAATTCAGAATAGAAACAAAAATTTTTGTACTTCATTAAATACGATGTGTTGCTGAAAGAAATCCTCAAAAGATTTTGGTTATTTGGTCAAATTTTGAGAAGTAGGTTTAGCAGACAACTTTTCAGCACCCACTCATAAGTACTAAAAACTTTATTAAAATCCAATAATTGGTTGATTTTTGTTATATTTTTAAAATCAGGATCTTTTTAGCTGATAAATTTTCTCATTTAGATTACGATTTATTTTGTTTACAGACAAATAAATTCTTATATATACCTCCAGTTTTAAAAATTGTACAAAAATAATTTTTAAATTAGAATTTTCTCCTATTTTTTGTTTATTTGTTGTTTTTTTTTTACTATTGGCAAAGATTTTGATGATAAAATTTACTTTTATAGTTTGTGATTTTTTTTCTCAGGTTTCAGTTTCCTAACAAATTTTTAAATACAGGAAGTATAACAATTATTTATATTGTACTAGGCATTATAAATAAACAAGAGCTGATTTAAAGTATGTGTTTATATATGAGTACATCATTTCATATATATATATATATATATATATATATATATATATATATATATATATGTGTGTGTGTATGTATGTATGTATGTATGTATGTATGTGATATATATTCAGTTTGTGTTTATTAATTTTAATGATTGTCTTTTCCATATTATGAATAATCCTTCTCAGACAAGAAAATTCTGTCTTTTCTTCCAAAATGAACTTTGGACAATTTCTGACATAATTTTCTCTTTGTATGAGAAGGATTATTTGTAATTTAGAAAAGTTGATCATTAAAATGAATTGACAAAATATCTGTTGTTTTTAATAGTATTTGCCTTAAAGAACATTTCATGCCTAAATACACAGAATATATATATGATATAAATCTAGTTTTAAGATATGCTATATTTATGGCTAAAAGTGCTCAATAGATAGAGCATATGTAGATATAAAGTGGAAAAGTAGAGACAAGTCAACATTGTGTTTCATGCTTGAATGCAGTCTTCAGGCTTTCTGTTGACCTGAGTGTCCACTTATATTATAAAGATATTACATACGGACAAACAAGTACTCACGACAAAGATGCATTTTTGGTTCAATGCAAATGCATCTCGACAGGTGAGGAACAAAGATGGTAAACATCTTTGTTCCTCACCTATTGTATGCAACGTCTTTATAATAATTAATTATTGCTCTACTCTTGGTATTGAGCCCTCTTTTAAATTAATGCTATGAATGTTTGAATATATATATGTTGGCAGTATTGACATTTAACATACCTGTTTAAACTAAACAAACCTACTTTGATTAATATACTTGGTATGAGTTAACAGTTAATGAAATATTCTTGTAGACCATTGCTACTATGGAATGATTTTGATCCTCACTGTGTGTTTCATATTTTTAATCTTGTACCAAGCTAAGATAAGCTTAATAAATATACAGATAACTTTTGGAAGATGGTATATAAAAGCTTAGATAATTAGTTCTATAAAATATAAATGAAAAAAAATCAGCTCAAAGGCTCTGCTTTTATATTTTTCAATAACTGCTATTGTGTCACTTGGAAAGCCCTGCTAGATTCTGAATAATCTGAAAGTGGGTGATATTTATTTGGAACTTGAAGTCTGATTTTAGCTGAGGTGTTTTCTATCAGTTGTGTATGTTTTGTTTTTATTCTGTTGAAAGTTGCTCTTTAAACCACAGATTGTTTACAGACAGATCTTTTCTAATAAAAACTGAAGGAAGTATTTGATAGTGTAGGAATCAATGTTCAAAAATTTATATATATCTTTATATATTATTGAATCAGTAATATAAGTTGAGAGTACTTATCAGTGGTCAACTCAAGTTTTGTGATTTCTTACTGATCAGAACTTGGATAAGAATGATTGTATCAATTACAGAATGTCTTAAATCTTATATTAATTGTATTAATTACAATTACAGATCATATTAATTATATAGATTCTATAATTAATACAATCTTCTTATCTGATTCCTGACAGATGAAAAATTATGAAACTCCAAGTTTACCTTCAATAAGTATTGTGAATTTATATTACTCCTGATTCAATAATTATTGCTCTAAATTACTATCAAACACTTTATTGGCACAAATTCTTGACATATGTTGATATGTGTAAAAATTTGTGATAGAATATATCTGTAAAAAGACAATATGAATAAAGACAAGAGAAAAGCTTATCTCAGCCAATGCATTTCGTCCTTTCTAAAAAGCAAATGTGAGGATTTTATTTTTGCTATGAGTATTTATATACAGGAGCAATAATGTTATTGGTTTTTTAAAATTTTTGAGTTTAGGAATGCTCATAAATATTCATCAGGTTAGCTGAAAAGTCAAGCAATCTATAGAAGACACAAAGTGACACAATTCAATGTCTAATAAATGAAAGTAAGTCTTGTATAGAAATACTTGTTACAAAATAAAATCCTTGAATTTGCCTTGAGAAAGTCCATCAGAGAATGAAATGCAACAGCTTTTTCATTTTGTCTTTATTCATGTTGAATTATATAAATTTGTGCATATCTATTATTATTTTATTATATAGTTATTATATCTTTATATAAACAGGTATATGTAAAAACATGCATGCAATGTCTTTCTTTCTCACTCTCATATATGAGAGAGAATTATATTTTAAGTAATTATTTTATCAAAGATTAAGTATTAAACTCCTGCTAATATGCAGAAAAATCAAATCTCTTAATTAAGAATAAAATACATATATATTTGCTTCCTATATTTTAATAGAGAGACATTTTAGATACCTCAGAAATCATATTTTTCCCCACCAAATGTACCTGCCTAACACTGTGTTTGATTTCCTGCAAGAAAATCGGCAAATCCTTAAACTGACCACCTTTTAAAAAATACTCCTTTTAACTGTTAAAAGATGGGGGGGGGGTCAAGTAGTGTAAGAGCATCATTAACATTCCCACCCCACTCTATACAGCCATCAGTTGTAGTTTTATTTCAAATGTGTATGATTTGTGCATTTGTACACGTTTTTATATGGGTGCCTGCTAATATATATATTCTATATATAGAAGTAGTATTGTTTTTCAAGTATGCGTGTGTGTCTATATATATTTGTGTGCTGATATATGATACAAATAAGATCATATTTTTAATATCTATATTCATTAAAGCATTTGTTGAATTTGTTCAGTCTGAGCTTCTGATGAGTTTTGACACAGATTAATAAATGTTAATTAAGGATTATTGTTGTGTTAATCTTTTTCTGGCTTCAGATGAATCCTTAAAAAGAAATGACACTAAACCTATGTCAGAAGTTAAATAAACAAAGAAGCTTTAACAGATTGGATCATAAAATAAACATAAGCTTCATGTATTGAAAGAAATTCTACCAATAGCCACGTAATATAATAAATGTATATGACTTTTTGG